TGTATCTCCATAGAGGTAGCATTGGTGTTGGAATACAGGATTTTAGCCTCGCTTGGTGCATCCGACCATTTTCCAGAGATTAGTTCCGTTACCAACTCCATCATGAAGCTACGGTGCGGATCGCAATTATTGGAAGCGATGTACACCATTCTCCGAGTCAGGCATGCATTGGATCGGGCGACATCAACCAGAGCCATTGCAAGCTTTTTGTACCACTTTTGGAATGAATGGCCATCCGCGATTGAAAATCAAGCTCGAGTTTGATCCAATCGATCGACCCCTGCATAGGTGTGTTGTAGTTCTTCAACACACGTTGGGGCCTCGAATATTTGACGCTCACTGTAAACCAGACAAAGATCCGTGGTTGCTTCCGAGGCATCAGTGTTAGATACAATACTAACAATACTTCCGTCACACCAAGATGCTGCAAGTATTTGATAGTACACGGACACACCCTGGCGCTACTCGCCTTTGGTACTCGAATCTTTTTCCAACATCACGTGCTTTGGAAAATGTTTGCTCGATCCACGAACCGTTCCTCGTTCAAACAGACCCTTTAGATTCAGGGCTTGTAGTAGCTACACCCAGGTGTAGCAATTGTCAGTGCTGACCACTTTGTTCGATGAATATATCGGTCGCACAACCTCCAGTACAATCTGACGAATCTGAGCTCCATGGGAAAGCTCACTGCCAAGATCTTGAGCCTCAGTTGGGTTTGCCACATCTCTCAAGCGACCCTCCAATACACTTTCACAATGAAGTCTATAATTCACAGCAATCTAGCTTGTAGCGCAATACATCATATACAACTTGAAGTGGTATTTGCTACCAGGCTTGCGAGGATTGTAAACAGTTAAATGCCGTCAATATCAAAATCTGCAAGCAACACTTGCTTCATCAAGCGCCACATCGCGACCTAGGTCAATGTACTTGCCTCCCGTCACTTTCAAAACATTCAGAAGGGTGCGAATTCTAGCAGCCGGGTTACGTTGAATATTCTCCACAGAAAAGTCGCTGCGGAAAGAAAACGATTGGCGGAGAAGTTTGAACGGCATGATGTTTTCTAGGTCGAGGTTCGGAACTCCAATCATGTTATCTTCGGCCTGACGGCCCCAATAATTTGCGTACTCTCATTTTATAGTGATCTCTATTTAAAACAGTCTGCCCAAAAACGTCATAACTTCTTGCAGAACGAACGGCTCGCCAATGGACTACTGGTTTACCTGTGCATACGCATTCGTCTCGTGCAAGATTTGTTGCCAAACGTATAGCGGTAGGTAGGCAAAAAAAAACTCGTCGATGCTGAATGCTCGAAGATGTTTTGATATTCATCTCGAAGCTTTGTGTCATTTGATCCGTCCGCACGCTGAAATAAAGTCTCTGGTTTGCCCATGGAGGCAACTGGATCGAACCGCATGAGAGTCGTTAGCTTCGACCTCTGCCAAGCAACTGCTCAGGGTAATAGGGGACTGGAGCTTCTTGGAGCTCGTCAATACAATTATAAATAGCTAGTGCATCATCGCCAGCTTCGCAAAGCGTTTACCAGTACAATGTGTTCGGGCCTGCCATGTGAAGATTGTGATTGGCGTGACCTTTTTGCACCAAATTTAGCGAGATATTCTCCGGCTCAGACTGAAACTACAAATCAGTCCAACGCACTTGGCAGGGCAGTGGTATTTGCTGGTCCGATGCACTCTTGCTTTGCTTATTCTTGTCCCCCTTCTTTTTGACTTGACGGTAGTGCAGATGCGGCCGACAATATATGCTGTACCAACTTTTTTATTGAGCTTTTCCTTAATCCAGCTTTCACGAGAAGGAGAAAACGCTACGAGCGTATTAATGTAAAGGGATGGTACAAACACTGCAGGTCCTCGACAAGCTCGAGGAGCTGGAGATAATAGCGCCATTACCCCGTCTGAGTTTGACGTCCCTGCTAGAAAAAAAAAGCAATAACATGAGAATTGTAGACACATCTATGACGTAAATCTGAACCAAAGCCTTCCCTCCCAATAGTGGTGATGGCACTGTCATTGGGTGGGTTGCTTGTTTCTTCGGTAAAAATACTACCGCCATCGTTAGTGCACTCCAAGGCACGTCGTGGTGTCGCCTGGATATGTACCACCGCCGATTCATGCATTGGAGTAACACCCTCCAAGTGTTGGCAGTCGATGATATTCGTTTAGTGGAATCTTTGCATTGCATGCAGCACTCAAATGGGTTAGTGATGAGTAAAATAGCATCCGTTTGTGACTTTCAAGGCAAAAATTCAAACTTTGATAGTTTGGACCTGGTGAGACCCTGGTGTCAACCTTTATAGTTCGGGAACGGTATAGATTGAGATCTATCCAATTGTCCAACATCAACTACTCTCCTGCCGTTGTCTTCCGCACTATGTTGAAAATGTTTTTGCTGGGTCTCGCCTCCACTGGCCTGATGAGAGACTGTGATTGCGTCGTGAATTTGGTTTACTTCACTCTGGCCGATGTCGGTCTGCAAACCTGACGGAGCTTCTAATTGCGTGTTTCGTTTCGAAACAATCCTGTAACCTGGTGGCGTTGGCTCCAAGTCACCGTTATCCCCCTCTTTGAACGCTCATGCCCTCGCTGTGAAGACTCATGTGGAAAAGTCCAATCCTAAAACTCTCGGGCCATCGCTTCTTACATCCCTATAATTGTGCGCGAACGGAAGGGACGGCACAGGTCGACAAATGCTCTAAAACAGTATTATAAAAAACGTATTGGACAGAGTGTAAAACCTGTTATAGTCAAAGAACCACAGCACCTTGAACTGGCGGTGGGGCTATTTATCGCAGGTAAAATGACAGCAAAATCTTGTTCCCCAACAAAAATGTTAACTCCGTTCTGACGTTTGAGGCTAGCACCTGGATGAACATAGCAATAAAATGAATCAGTCACTCTACGGGGTGGTGGCTTGTGATACCACCCGTCCGAACGAACCTCCCTCCATACAGTCATAAAAATGTAGAGTTGTCAACCTTGTCTTCGCTCTCTTCTTGGGTTGCAACTGCCGCTTTCTGCCGATGACTTCTCGCTCGTTTCGATGGACCAGCACGCGCACTATCAAGGGAGCGCTTACTTCGGGACCCATTTTTCCAGTCCAGGATAGATAGACAGATAGAGGGAGTGAGTTGGGAGAGGGTGGTTGTCAGACTGTCGTCGAATTGTAGACAATAAAGTTTTATAGACGGATCACCTTACAGTTGAAAAATATCTGTCAAAAACGTTTGATCACGTTCTGTTATCTATTCATTTATAAATCGCATACATTAGGCTGCCTATTCCAAAGATTACAGTTTTCAAATGGTTTACACGCATTGCATTGTTTGGTGCTGAATGAAGCATCGCCCAGGTAACTCAGAGTGTGGTGCGAAGTACTAGATATATCGATGCGGAGTACTTCATGTTGTGTAATCTACATGCGTTGCATACTAGCCCGCCGCACAACCCATGTCATAGAGTCACAGTGTAGAGGTCATATTACATAATATATAGGTAAGTGCTGATGCTAGTGGGGTCGTAAGGCTACGTCTCTTTTGGGGGTGGCTGTTGATCACTACAGAAACACTTGATCGCCTGCGCAAATAACGGCATAGCATTACTTTATCAAGACTTGTTATCAGCTGGATATACTGTCGTTACGTAGAACGTAGAACTCCAACTGAACCGAAGATATGCCTACTAATTAACTCTGCAATGTGCTTACCTTTGCAAATAAGTTTCCAAGTCGCCTTCATCTGGTCATCATCTCAGAGTGGAAGTGCACCACTAACTGAAGAATTTTATGTTCAACAAGATAGAATAAACTTTAGACCTAATAAAATAATGTTTTCCAAATAAATATTATGGTAACAATTGTATCCAATCAAAACAACCGTTTTCGCATTACCGGGAATGTGGAAAGGGCCATTTTGACCCCAATCGAAAATGCTGTCAAATATTGCAATTACTACCGTAATATTCATACTGGGGAGTATTACCGTGGTCAGACGAAAGGCGGTATTTTGGCTCCTAGTTCGCGAAAGGGTTGAGGTCGACTAGAAACCGCAATAATAGACTGTATGTGAAAGACTTGTTATGGGCAATTTACCTTAAAAAATTGAACATAAAACTGGGCGCAAACGGTGCAAACTTTATTTTTTTTTATTAGCAAAATGATCCCAACAAAGAAGCAGAGATCCTTATCGAAATCCAAACAAGGGGGCCTCACTACATGTCATTCTTCCATATTTTCACTTGTCTCAACACGTTAGAATATAAGGGGTGATATGTACAACGACAAAACGTCATCTGTTTGGCGAACTATTGAAGTGGGGACATCAAAACTCCACCACCTGGTAGTTTTGCTGCAGATTGCGAGGTGCGTTCTATTAAGATTCCGTTTGAACGCTCAGTCCTTCACCAGTGAAGGGTAGCGTACTCCACTTACTTATGCGGTACCGCTGATGATGTTGCGGATTATGCGGCGCCGCTGATAATGTGGTAGATACTCTGATTATGCAAATGTCGCTGTTTATGTGTGCAACTCCACAGTATTAATAGCTTATACTTCGAAGTAATAAATACCCAAAAACACAAGCTGATTATATCTAACATAAGCCACCTCAGGTGGCTTAGACGAAAAAAAAGAGGATATAACCAATTTCTCGGCCGAATATCAGCAAAAGAGCTGCCAAAATGTCAGCAGTTTTATCTGCAAGATTTGACTCAGCCTGATTGTAACAAATCTTAGTTGATCAAATGGAGCTGCCCGATTACGATTTCATGTAGTGATTGCGTACCTCCACCTTCCCCAACGATGTTCAATGCTGGCTCCTCTGCAATTCTTAGTAAATACTGTTCCGAATACTAAGACCATTATATCCTATCATAGAACGGGATCTCGTGTTCTTTCCACCGGAGGTACTTGAGTGCCTGTGATGTTGCTAGTGTATTAATCCTTTGTCAATTGGCATTTGGACTTCTCACTTTGCAAATTTCTCTGAACCCGCGAACACCATATCAACTGAAAGAAGCCCTTATCATGAAATCCTGCTGTATCATCGCCGCAGCGACAGTCGCCATCCTGGTCAAGGCTGAACATGTTCCCGCTGGCCATGGTATGAAGCAGGAACCACCCAACAAGACATCTTCTTTGAGCACGGTGACCTCAAGCGATATCAGTATACTTCCAAAAGCCCGGGTTCTCGAGGACAGCAAGGATTTGGGGAATGAAAATGAAGCGCGAGCAGGGCCTAAGCTTGACAGGGTGGTTTCGGACCTACTGGATGATGCGGTCAGAGCTGCGAAGCTATCAAGGACAAAGTCGCTATCTTCTCTGCACAAACCTGAGACGCTAGTGGAGAGTCAAAAATCGATCAAGGCACAGCTTAGACCGCTGCTTGAGGATTTTGCAACAGTTGAGAAACTGACCCCAACTGAAGCTGCGACCAAGTGGGGCATTTGGACGCTATTCAAGACGAAGTCGATGGAGGAGCTGGCTAACCACCCGGACTATTTGTTATGGAAGGTATACACGAAGTACTGGAACAAATACCACTACTCGCCAGCTTAGTCACGTTCTCCACTACCGAAACAAAACCAGGGACAACAGCTATTGACAGCTGCAATCTAATATTTCAGTCTGGAGAAGGGATTTTTTTTCTCGACTCTATAATAGTGATTGAAACACAAATTATTTGAATTTCCAACGATCACTAAAGAGTGGGGAATCATTCGTATTCTTCCTCGTGGGTGAGGAGTGGCGGGTTAAGCGCTACCGAGGGGCTTTCGAAATGCCTAGCCTATTTCTCTACCTCTACCGCGATCGGGAAACCGACGTTTTGCCGTTGCTCTTCGACCACTTCGGGTCTTGGCACGTTTCAAAACCCACCAACGAGTGCCAGCTACAATGTGGATCACCACGCAAAATCTGTCTAAATCCACCGTATTATCAATCATACTTTATCACTATGGGTATTTAAACACTGAAATACTATCAAATTGGTGGTGTTGAAAAGAGTTTGGGTGCTAATCAGGAAACCAATTTGAGACTTAAGCTGGGAATACCAGTTTTTATTTTGTTACTGTATTTTTGTGCAATCTGAACATAACCAGAGGTTGAAATAATATTCATAAAATAACTATTGTGTATTTTGTACTGAATGTAGGGGCTGTCCATCCCTCATTTTTCGGTATTAGAGGATTTTCCATAATCCAGTATACTAGTATACTGGATTTTGAAATTAGCAGATAACAGTTATTAGTAATGTTTATAGTAGTTGATAAGTTTGATATACGCCAAGCCATGCGAACTTAAGGTACTATAGACTATTCATGGCTAAACGGTTGCTGTGGCGTGTTAGTTGTTTATGCCGTCGTCTCCTTCTCGCTCGTTGATAAAGCCACACCAAGTCGATGGTGTCTAACTCGAAGTCGACTTTGAGCTTCCAAGGAAGATTTTAGCAGGTTCCCATGTAAGTAAATGATATCCAACCCATTGCACTAGATAGAATTTTATATTGTGAACCCAACGCGTGGCGTATAGGTGTTCTACGTCGTAGAACTCTTTACTTCTTCCTCGTGCTGCTTGTGTCCTGTAGACCGCTTGTCCGTTCGCGGAAGTATCCCGAACCTCGTCGGAATTGGGAGGACGCAAAGTTAGATTTTGTTGATCTTGAGTTTGTAGAAGAACCGTCAGCATTTCGTTTGAAGTTCCTTGCTTGCATTACGAGCTTGATGAGTGGAGGCATCTGGCCAAATCCAATCTGGGCTATTACAGCTCCACACACTCCAACATTACTCGATTCGAATTTTGGTTAAAGAAAATCGTCGTTAAAATCTCAATTTTTAACTTCAACTCGAATATTCATGTTAAAAACTATAATATTCTTTAAAGACCGATGG